GGAAATCAATAACTCAACACAAACCGTTCTTTTACTTTTCTTTACAGTTTTGTTCATGGTTTTTAAGACATGTTATCTTACATACCTTAATGTAAAAAAAAAAAAAAACTCTTTTAAAAGCCGTCAAGCCTATTTATTTCACTAATAACTATGCATGATTGTATGGCCAAAAGCATTTAAGATTTGCATTCACCATCTCTTTTAAGAACAAAACCTGCCACACATTCTGTATGAATATGATTATCGTTTGAACAACAGAAGGTAGAGGAAGCGTGTAAATGTATTGAAATGTGTGGCGCTGTACCTGCCAGAGGAAGAAGAGCGCCAGGATGATCTGCAGCGGCGCTGACCACAGCATGTTCAGGAAAGTGGTGAGATCCATGAAGCGCTGGGCATCCACAGACATCAGGTTCACCACCTCACCCACCGTCGACGAGCGCTTGGCCTCGTTCGTGATCGCCAGAGCCTGCAGAGACACCACAGACTGTCAGAAGCTGCACAGTATGCATTCAGCTGCTGAAAAAGTCATAAATAATAATAAATAACTTAGTGCTGTCAAACGATTAATCGCGATTAATCGCATCCGAAATAAAAGTTTTTGTTTACATAATATATGTGTGTACACTGTGCATATTTATTATGTATATATAAATACAAACACATGCATGTATATATTTAAGAAAAATATTTTATGTTTATATATTAAACATATTTATATATAATATAAAACATAATAATATGAACATATAAATGTATAAACATGTAAATATTTTCAAAATATATATTGTATATGAGTGTGTGTGTTTATATATATACATAATAAATATACACAGTACACATACATATATAATGTAAACAAAAACTGTTATTTCGGATGCGATTAATCGCGATTAATTATAAATAACAAATCTGTAATGCTTCCACAAATCAGCATAAACTGGAAAAATCTCTCTTTTCATTCTCATAATACAAAACAACTAATAATTTAATTTTAACTTTGATTTGAGATTGATTTTATCAAGCTTTTTTTATGATAATTCAACCAAAAAAGGTTAGTAATAAAGCTGTAATAAAATGCCACACAACAACAAAGTCATCATTAATTCAATTTCCAGCTGCTAAAAATGTTCAGTAATAAATAATAATAAATAATATCTCTGTAGTAGTCAAACAGGTTTCCACAAACCAGCACAGACTGCAAATTTGTTTTAATCATTGTCACAATTCAAAAAACAACTAATAATTTAATTTCTGCTTCAATTTCAACTACATTTTTCATGAGAAATTCGAAAAAGAAAAAGTAATAAATATTAATATCTCTGTAGCTGTCAAACATGTTTCCACAAACAAACATATACAGTAAAAACTTTCTTTTCATTGGCACAATTCAATTACAACTAATAATTTCATTTCTACTTCACTTTCAACTCTATTTTCTGAACCTGTAATTTAAAGTAGTTCAGTAATAAATGATAATAAATAATATCTCAACAGTTGTCAAACAGGTTTCCATAAACCAGCACAGATTCTAAAAATATTCATTTTTCATTGTCACAATCCAATAACCTCTAATCATTTCATTTCTACTTTGCAACTTGATTTTCTGCCAAAGTAATTTAAAGTGGATAAAGAATAATAAATAATGTCTGTTGTTGTCAAACAAGTTTCCACAAACCAGCATAAACTGTAAAAATATTTATTTTCATTGCCATAATGCAAAAACAACTGCTAATTTAATTTCTACTTCGATTTCAACTAGATTTTGTCATCAGCAAATCAATTTAAAGTTTATAGTAATAAATAATAATAATATCTCTGTAGTTGTTAAACAGGTTTCCACAAACCAAAACAGTGTCAAAATAGTTATTTTTATTGTCATAATGCAAAAACAAAGCCATTATTCACATTAACATGATTAAAAATTCTGTAATAAATAATAATAAATACATAAAATGTAACTTCGACAACACTATTTAGGATTTAAATTGGAAAACAATTAGCAAATAACCCTGTATTACATTTTCGTGGACAGTTTTTACAGTGTAACAGGCTAATTTTTTTAATGTTTCTGACTTTCTTTGCAGCTTATCTTCCACAGAAGGTCTAAACCAACAGAGTAATAAAAACCTAAAAAAGTTTCTACTAAAAAAAGATATGAACAAATGTTTGCACTAGGGCTGTGCGATATTGAAAAGAAATGCGATACGCGATACCTTGTTAAAAATGCGATATTCGATATGCGATACGATATTGCTTAAAATTTGAAAAATCTATTTAAATTATATTTTAAAATATTTAAAAATTAAAATTATATAACCAATTTGTTTCACATTCTTTTTTGGAAAAGAAAGAATCACTACAACTTCTGAAAGTGACCAGCAG